ACAAATTGCATGTCAATTTTGGATGCTACCTTGTTCTCTTGCTCTACCCCACTTCCACCAACAACAAAAAATAAGTGCACAGGGATACATATGTGGAAGAAAGTTTTCAGATGCAAAGACTAAATTAGAAATATGCAGCAAAGGAATAGTTAAACAGCACGTGTAAAGTAAGACTGAGTTATTCAAATACACATCCACATTCCAATCTGTTCCGTTAGACCAGCATGAGCTGTTTCAGTTACTGCAGCTAGGATGTCATTTAACAAGAATGTGCACCTCCATTCTTGAACTCAAACTTTTGTCAGTTTGCAGCATGCTCAAGTTTTCCAAGTAACCGTTATAATTCAAATTCTGCTCTTAGACATGATGAATAAGCAACACTTGGAAGTAATCTTTAGAGTTAGTTTTGAAGACCACTGTCTTGGGAGGGAGAGGGTGTCTTACTGTAACCTGTAAGAGTTTTTGCCAACAGCTAGAAGTTTAATTAGAATGTTTGTAGTTTTTTGTACTTGCCGTAACAACATACTTACTAAATATATAATAAACTAAACTTATATACAGGCCATTCATCATCTATTATTGTGCCTTAATAGCAAAAACAAGTGTAGAGCTCTAAGTTATCCCACCACCACAGTCAAATATTGTTAAGGGCTAGGGATGTTAGTGTTAGTTTAATCGATAAGCCTACACTTATCAGCTAATCCAAACGACTACATGCACTATCCCCTTGCTGACTCTGTATGAGACAGAGCAAGGAGGAAGGGGGAGAGGTGGGAGCCAGTAACTATGAGGAGCCAGTTTTTAAGTCAGCTCCTCGCACATGCTGGTTCCTGTGGAACTGCCTGCCCCTACTTACTCCGCTCCTCCTGCTACCCTCCACAAAGGCAGCTGCACAGGGACAGGTGGGAGCCGCTGCTCAAGAGGAGTCAGCTTAAAAACCAGCTCCTCACAAGCACTAGAACCCGCTGAGCTGCCTGCCCTCCCTCCGGGCGCTGTCCTCCCCTTTCCTCCCCCATGCTGCTGTTTCTGGTATAGCATGTGGGGGAGGAGGTGGGGGAGGAAGGCTAAACCTACTAGCCTTGCAGACTGGCTCTGCCTTCCATCCCAGGAGTGGGGCCAGGAGCACACTGGCTGACAGCCCCCACCATCAGGGAGTATTTTAGTAATTTTTTTTTGCTGCTACATGATTACTAAAATAAACGTTATCTAACATCCCTATTAAGAGCAAATGCCTATTGGATTGTCAACTAATCTTTAACACCTCTAGTGTGGACAGCACACTTTGTCAGTCCAAAACACTCTCTCACCAATAAAACTACAACCCCTCATTGGGAATGGTTCTATTTTGTTGACAGGAGAGCTCTCTCCTGCCATCAGAAAGTGGCTAAACAACATAATTTAGAGTAGCACAGCTGTAGCAACACAGCTCTGCCAATCTAAGGTATGCAATCTGAACATAGCATAAGGCCGTGGTCCCCAACACGGTGCCCGTGGGTGCCATGGCGCCCGTGGGGGCATTTCCATGCGCCCGCCAGGTGCTCGGGGCTGGATCACTCCGGTGGCCCCCGCCATGGCGCCCGCGGGGGC